GGGGCCTAAGGGGTCCTTTACATACTTGTGTGGGCTGCTAGGGTTTCAGTCAAAACCCTAATGGATAGCTTAAACTCTAAGCAGCCCATAGAACCTTCTGAATAAGGCCATGGACGAAAATATGATGGGCTTCCATCATAATTTCGTTCACTCCTTATTCCTTTAGCATTCCTTAGCCTAATAACTCAATTATCTAATAATTGCAGGCCAACCCCCTTAATTTAGTCAATCTCTTTTAGCCACAAAATTAATTCTTAATCAATTCTTGACTAATATTAATTAAACAATATGATTTCTCCTTTAATATATTATTCTCATAATATATTAATAAATCATATTTAAACCTTTCTCTCCTTAAATCATCCTACATATTGCTATGGTGAAGGCAACCCAAAAGGACCATGCTCATAATCGGGTCAAGTATATACCAAAACAGTTATGGACTTAGATACTAATCCAACAAAAGATTCACTCAAAAATATCTCACAAGCCCACACAAAGCATTGGGGTTTCGTGATTTAGGGTTTTGGGACTTGGAGGCTGGAAATGAGGCCAGCATGTGGGGATTAGGATGCTTAAATAGGGTGCAAAACCCCGAAATTAGGTTTTCACCCCTGCTAGCCTACTCGTCGACTTGAGGCTCTCAACTCTTCGATTAGACTTTACAACCCGCGTCCAATTTCCATTCCTGCTCGATGAGTTTGGGGCCTCCAGCTCATTGAGTTTCTGTATAAAAATTAACAAATATTTAATTAAATACATACCGGTGACTAGGCGTTACAGAAATAGTCCCCGTAACCGGTCGAAAGGACCGCAGGGGTAGGCTAGCACCCATATATACTAGGCAATATGTGATTTATGTGTATATACCAGGGTATTATATGGTAGTGGTAGGGGTGAAATAGTCCCTATAGCCGGTTGAAAGAGACCGAAATGGTAGGCCAACACCCAGATATACTAGGCGGTTACCAGTTAAAAGAGACCGAAGGGGTAGGCCAGCACCCATATATGCTAGGCGGTTACCAGTTGAAAGATATCGAAGGGGTAGGCCAGCACCCTGATATGCTAGGCGGTTACCGATTGAAAGAGACCGAAGGGGTATGCCAACACCCGAATATGCTAGGCAGTATGTGTATCTTACGTTATGTGGTATGATGGGGGAACTCACTAAGCTTCGTGCTTACGATTTTCACTTTTGGTTTCAGGTACTTCTTCAAAAGGAAAGGAGCCGACATAATCACAATGCATCACACTATGCTTTTCCGCACATGAGATCTTTGGGAGATATAATCTAATGATGTTTTATTATGACATGTTTTGATTATTGACATTTTGGTTTTGTTATGTGATGACACGATGGATGTTTTTACACTAATGATTTTATAATTACTTAATTAAAAATGAAAATTTTGATCTTGAATCTTGGGATGTTACATAGGCTTTGACACCTAATCCAACAATCTCCCGCTTGGATAAGTCTATAACTATAATTTCTAGTATAACTTTCGAATCGATCAACAAATTGTAGCTTTCAAAAGCCTTTGTCAAACTCTGACCCAGTCTGTCATGTGTCCTAAGATAAGTGATCATATAATCCTCCGTATTGTAAGATATCATTCGTACATGAGACATATAATATAATCAATCTCATTTGCCAAATCTTTGTTTTCCAATTGTTGTTTTTTAATGACATAGAACTTCTAATCGAACACATCAATTTAGTCCTGGTCGGGTTCGACACTATAAGTCAACATCAAATCACCAAGGGGTCCAAAGATATCGCTTTTACTATTAGGGAAAAAGGAACGAATAAACATTGACTTATAAAAGACTACTTTTCCGAATATCATAAGTTTAGTGTCAAAAAGTTTAGACGATGGTATCAGATGATAAAAGAACTATTTCTTTAGTTAGAAACAATTTGGAGAGAGTATTCTATTTTTTTTTAATTATCATAGGATGCACGAGGTAGAAGGGTTTTTACAAATTTACAAAATTGCAAAACTGCTATGAGCTAAATATAGTACAAACATGCTCTGACTCATGGGAAGAGTACTTAGACATGTAAAATAAAACTTCAAGGGTCAACATGTATAAGTTTTTCAAATGTGCTATTAAGCTATACAAAAAACAATATTTGTGTAAACCTAAGTATAAAGGCGTACAAAAATTACATGAGTTACACAAACATGAACATGACTTTTCTGGAATGCTAGGAAGTCTTGATTGTACACACTGGACATGAGAAAATTCTCTAGTTTCATGGCGAGGGTAATTGATGTGAGGTGATCATGACACCTAAGATAATGCTAGAATTGGTTGCCTAACAAGATTTACAGATTTGACATGCACTATTTAGTCCCCCATGATCCCACAACAACCTCAATGTCCTTACCAATTGCATAAATTCAACGAATTTAAGAATGGAAAAGCACTCGAGTGTACATTCACAGTTAATGGAGTAGAATAAAGGCATGGTTATTATCTTGTTGATGACACATATCATGAGTGTGATAGCTTTGTGAAGTAATTCATGTCCAACCGATCAAAGCGACATATGTTCAAGGCATCACATGAATCAGCTAGGAAAGATGTGGAACGTATATTTTTGTCCTTAAGAAACAATTCAAGATACATGCCCTCTCGACATGAACATCGACTCTAAATATGTTAAGAAACATAATGTATGTGCACATCATATTGCACAATATGATTTTAGAAGATGAATGTCAAACGTTCCACATATACGATGAACCGGAAGATGAAGATGAAGATCCAAAAGAGTTTATGAAGCTAATATTTGGGAATTACATAACAGATAAGTGCATGTCAACATTCATTCCGTTTGGTGGAACATATTTATGTTAATCGTTCCATGTAGTTTTCTGTTTTATTTTTAGTTTTATGTTATTTTTTTGCACTTTTAAATTTCTTAGTTTAAATTAATATGAAAAACCAACTTATGTTATTCTAATAATTTATGTTAGATTTATATTTATTCATATATACATTTTTTAAACATTAAAATATCATATTTAATATTCATAAACTTTTTAAATATCATATATATCCAAATTATTTTTTTAAAATATTTTATAATCCTTTTAAATTATTATTTTTATAAATTGACTATTATACCCCTATTATAAACTAAAGACTAAATAACAAATAACAAAAATAGGAACTAGATATATACAATAATCCTTCTATTAGTCCCGGTGGTTAAAAATGTTGCCACACTTCCTCGGATGCAGGGCAGACACATGAAACATAGTAGGTGTTATAGGTGTTGGAAAAATAGATAAAAAAACGAAAAATCGAAATTGTTTCAATTGCGGACTGAAATAATAGGTGTTGCCGGTGCCACACCGGGACACCTACTAAAACCGCCCTTGCTCAGATGTGTACATGCATAATCATGTGAAGTTCATATTAAAACTTAATCATTTAGATAGTATTTTGTTTTACTAAAATAAAATAATGTGAAAGATAAAAAAACCCCTCACATTACCAACTTATAGGAGCGCGCATCTACATATGTGCTTCTTTATTTCTTACCAAAGGGCTTCTAGCCCAGCGGTATCCGATGTTGCTCTTCTTACTTGAAGTCGAGGGTTCAAGCACCAGAAGAATTAGCTAAGCATGTTCATAATCAAAAGAGCGAAAATTAATACATAGATTAATATATCTTACCAAAGGACTTCTAGCCCAGCGGTATCCGATGTTGCTCTTCCTATTTGAAGTCGAGGGTTCAAGCACCAGAAGAATTAGCTAAGCATGTTCATAATCAAAAGAGCGAAAATTAATACATAGATTAATATATCTTACCAAAGGGCTTTCTAGCCCAGCGATATCCGATGTTGCTCTTCCTACTTGAAGTCGAGGGTTCAACTCCCGTGAGGGACATAGGTGGAGAATTAGGAGTAGTCTAGAAGTACATTAGATTTGCCATTTCAAAAAAAAAGAGATTAATATATCTTAAATCCTCGATCAATAATTTAGTTATGTCATCATTTGGAGATGATGTTATTCATGAGAATTTCAATCTACGAGCGCTTCATTAGTTAATTTCCACTTAGTTTGTGCAAGTTTGTGCAATCATGGTGCCTAATTGCTCACTAGGGTTAATGTTTTAATGGTGATGGTGACCTGGTGTGTCCACCGGTTTACGAAGATGGTCGAGGTAAGTAAGAAGATTGATCAATGTTGTTTTGAAGAAAGCTTTTATCTAAGGGTGTCAAATCAGACAATCTAGTCGTGTTTTTGTCTGACACGACAATGTTTTATGTAACACGAAAACAACACGATGCCGTGTTTTTTAACTAACACGAAAATGAACCGATTACAAAATGACAAAAACGACACGACTAAGATAACATAAAATAACAATTAGCTTATTTAATTAATATTTAATCATATATAACAAGACAAACACGACCGGAAAAAATGCTAAATTGTGTCAAATTCACGTCAAAATTTGAACACGAACACGATACAACATGAAGTCTTGTATTTTTACACTTGACACAAACACGATACGAACACAAATTCAGATTTCAATTTCGTCCAAATTTCATTTCATGTCGTATATTTTTGTCGTTGACACATCATCAATTGACACCCCTCTTTATCCATATTTTTTTCTTCAATTTGTTATAATTTAATTAGAAGGAATCTTTTCCTTTCCAAGATCTTCAAAATCTCAAATCAGATATATGTTTCATATTATTACACAAATACACATTCACCTTATTTTATGTAATTTATGTCAACCTAAAGTTGGACTAATGTAACCATGAGCAAATGGAACAAAGACAGGATCATGAAAATATCTTAGAAAATATGATAAGCTAAAAGTAGCCAAATTAGAACAAAGACCTTGAACAGGCCCCATCTCATTCATTTTTTTTTTTAATTTTATTATTATTATTTTTTTTTCTGCAGAGTTGGTGTGTATATATATATATATATATCCAGAACAAAACTTATGAATTTCTACTCTTGTGATTATGTTACTCGACAATGGCGCTTTCATCTACATTCGAAGAGAGACTTTATCAAATGGAGGAAACCAGAAACCAACGCCTCTCTCTTTTGCAGGTATCATTCCTTAAATGCTATCACAAAACCAGAATCACATTCCATGCTGCAAATATTTGATCGAGATCATTGGTAGGCCGAGAAAGAGCTCCAGCAAAATAAATCTCAAGCTCTAGCTTCGAAGCTTTCTGGTATCAGATACATTGAACAGAGGTGCTTCAAGCTCGATCACAAAATTGCCTCACAACAATTCATCATTTCTTCCCTCAAATCGCAACTCGATCGCCTCGATTCAATCCATCTGAATCAAATCAAGCAATTCAGGTTCCTATCATCGAATTGCCGTTTTTATCTTCTCTGTTTCGTACTGCTGACAGTTTTGTCCTCAAATTAGGCTTTTGAAAAGTGAAGTGGAAAATCTGGAAGGGTTAGATAAGGAAAAGGACAAGTATTATGCGTTGAAAGCTCGTGAGATTGACAACTTTAGGTCTCGAGCTGAGATTTTTGCTACCGAATCCCAAATGCGTGTGGATGAATTGAGGAATTGTGTGAATGAGGTAAGATCATTATACCAGTTCATAATTTTCCATAATCGCATATGCAATCTTTCGTTCTCGCTCTCTTATTAACTGTTGTTCCATGTTTTGCATTTGTATATAAGAATTTTTGAAACAACTCAAGTTGATCACCCTCTCCATTTCGTTTATCTTTTCAATTTCTAGAATGCTAATTGAGAATTAAACTGGATTCAGAATAAATGAACTTAAAAAGTATTTTCATTCTATTGATCATTCATTCTATCAGCTCCAATCGAGTTTCATCCAACTTCAACACAGTGCTGGGTACTCAAATAATCCTGACTTAGCTGCAGCTGAAATGAGAAAATCTGAACTTGAAGCTACAAAAGAGTCTTTAGATAGAAAGTTGGCTTCTAATTACAACACAAGGGCACACTTGCAAAAGCAGCTAAAGAGTTTGCTTATTTCACAAAAAAGAATGGAGGAAAACCTTGAAAGATAGGATCTTTTCAAAACAATGGATATAGAATAGACGAATTTCAAAGCAAACAAACGATTGTATATAAGTATAAACATTACTTTTTATTTTTTATTTTTTTAAAGGGGATAATGACTTGAAAGGGTAACGAACTTTCGACTTTTGTCACATTTAGTCACTAAACTTTTTTTCCTTATCTATTTGCCATTGAACTATATTTTACCTTATGACCGGCTGTTACCGGTCATAAGGGTAAAATGTGAACAGTTTCAATAGTTTAGTGGCAAATAGATAATAAAAAAAAGTTTAGTGACTAAATGTGAACAAAATTGAAAGTTCGTTTCCCTTTAAAAAGTTCAATGACTAAATGTGAACAAACTTCCTATTGTATTATGTTTTAGCAAAATTATTTATTTTTGTTTAATTGTATCAACATTTGTTGATGAAGAAATGTATGAAATAAAAAAACAAAATGTAACATTCGGATTTCCAGGTATCATCATTTAAGTATTTTTCTTTTGAGTTAAGAAGAGAGACTCGATGAGTTGACACCTCAACTCGTCGAGTAAGGTCGCGACTGATGACTCAGATTAATGAATGGACTCGACGAGTCGGTGAGGCGACTCGAGGAGTCCACGCTATTGGCAGAAACCCTAAATCTTTGGGCTCGATCCATATTTAAAGGCACTTATGGCCTTCAATTGCGACTACCTTTCCCATAAGTGAGAACCCTAGCGAGCTTGAGTGTGTAGAGTGAGAGGAAGAGATATCTTGAGCTTTTTGGTGTGATAGATCTGGACCCTTCTAGGTTCAGAGATTCGAGAATATGAAGCTTTAGTAGAGTAAACCTTGGGGTTCAAAGTTAGGAAGCATTTATGGTATATATATAGTTACTTTCATCTTACACATAGATATGAAGTATTTTATATAAATTACGTGCTATGTGTGCATATTATTTGAATACTTGTTGTCTATGCTAGATGAACGATTTTATACATGTTTTAGAAGATTTAAACGGTATATTTATTTTATATCTACAAATATGTTGCGGATGAAACATGGATAGATGAAATAGTTGGTGTGTGATGAAATAAAATGATGAGAGAAATAAAATGATGAGAGACAGGTGATGATAGAAAGGTGGTGATAATTAGGTAAATAGAAGATGATGAATATGTGATGTAGGATGAAAGGAGATACCATAACCTTAACCAACAATGTGGCGATGTAGTCATCTACCAGAGTATAGATGGCGACCACGGACTATTCTAGACAACCCAGTGGAAACACCAGTAGGCCCATAACCTGTATGTGATGAATTACGAGTTCAAGCGATGTTGTAACTACGTATTCATGTGACGATACTCTAACTCCTTACTATGAATTACGAGTTCAGACGATATTGTGACTACATATTCATGGGATGTTACAAATTTCGCATGCCAAACCAATGGTCATAATTCATATCAGTGAGGATGATTCATTTTTTTGTAAAACCAAAATCAGATTGGAAATTTTGATTTTTTATTTTGGAAAATGTCAACCCATTGGGTTTTTATTTCGGTTTCGGTTTTTTGTTTTTTATTTTTTAAATATATTTTCAGGGTTTTTTTTCATAGATTTCTTCATCAACAAATGTTGCAACAATTTACCAAAAATAAATAATTTGCTAAAACATAATATAAGTGGAAGTTTGTTCACATTTAGTCATTGAACTTTTTAGAGGGAAACGAACTTTCGATTTTGTTCATATTTAGTCACTAAACTTTTTTTCGTTATCTATTTGCCCTAAACTATTGAAATTGTTCACATTTTACCCTTATGACCGGTAACAGCCGGTCATAAGGGTAAAATGTGAACAATTTCAATAGTTCAATGGCAAATAGATAACGAAAAAAAATTTAGTGACTAAATGTGACAAAAATCAAAAGTTCGTTACCCTTTCACGTCATTATCCCTAACAAAAATAAATAATTTTCTAAAACATAATACAAGAGGAGGTTTATTCACATTTATTCATTAAACTTTTTAGAAGGAAACGAACTTTTGATTTTGTTCATATTTAGTCACTAAACTTTTTTTTGTTATCTATTTGCCATTGAACTATTGAAACTGTTCACATTTTGCCCTTATGACCGGCAACAGCCGGTCATAAGGGTAAAATGTGAACAGTTTCAATAGTTCAATGGCAAATAGATAACCAAAAAAAGTTTAGTGACTAAATGTGATAAAAGTTTAAAGTTCGTTACCCTTTCAAGTCATTATCCCTTTTTAAAGCTGTTCAATTTTTCTTCCTTATACACGATAATATGAACTTGTAGACACTTTATATTGCATTGATAACTTAGCCAAAACCAAAAAAATGTTCATATATATATATATATATATATATATATATATATATATATATATATATATATATATATATATATATATTCATTTATAAATTATGATTAAGCGTCATTTTATTGACACAGGAGTTTAATAATTAATATACATAGAATCCGGCTTATGATCTGTGCATATATTTTTTCACTTTATTTTATGGATTTTAATTGACCCAAACACGTTTGCGATATTCCCCAAGTGCCCAAAGTGGGAAAATGTTCCTGTATTCTGCATAATGCAGCATGCAATTCTTCATGTAGACTCCAGTAATCTCCTACAAAGTTCATGTCACATGTTAATAAAAATGATTGGCCAAAAGTGTAAAATAAAAAATATAAAAGTTACCTGTTGAGGAAAATCTCCATTATCCATTTGCGCATTAATCAATATCTTTGCTGCTTTATGCAAGGGCGTTGGCTCTCTTTCAGCCTAGAAATATCAATATAAATATATATTAGCCATGAATATTAATAATTAATACCTGGAATAAGCTTAGGGTGTGTTTGATATGCCTTTTACTGGGTCTGGTAAGAGGCTGGATCTGACTCGGTCAGACACAAATATAATCAAACAACATGGTTTCAGTTAGATGTGGACTCAGTCAGCAACTATCAAACGATCTCTCAGACCAAATATTACCACATTTAGAAGTTAGAAGTCTCTGATTCGGTCTTATAGCCTCTGATATGACCTTAGGGTTCTGGTCTGACTTAATCAGACATTGACTCAATCAGATCTTACTCAATCAACAACAGATAATGAAAAATACCTGTCCACATAACATAAGACCAAGCATAGCCCATGATGTTTGAACTAAATTTGTTCGATTTCCATCCAATGGTGTGTACACTTCACTAGGGCAAGACTGTATGCTTTCTCCCCATCCTCCCTCTTCATTTTGTGTTGAAAGGAAAAAATTGACTGCTTTACGAACTGATTCACTGTTGTTATATGTTTTTCCAGCTGAAACTAAGCCTCCTATTGTAAAAAATGTGCCATATAGGAAACATATTCCCCAATAACCATACCTATCAAATTTCATAGATTTTCATAAGTACAAAACAATACATAGATTTCTCAAAGTATAATGTTGTAATAGAGAAAAAACTTGGAAACACCATGCTACAATTGGTGGGTTTTTTTTAAAAGTACAATGTGTTGGTAAAAAGAAGATAAGTACAATGTGGTAAATATAATAGTAATACACAAATAAATGAAAGTGAATTTCTATTTCTTGAATTTATCTTACCAAGAACCATCATGCCATTGTTTTTCCTCCAAAAAACTAACTGCTTTTGCCACAGAAATTTCAATTTCTTTCTCCCTATGACCTGGGTGCAATCTTTTGAAGGCTAAAAGGGCTTGAATAATTGATGATGTACACTCAACATGCCTAATTAAATTAAATCACCAAAATAAGAAATAATGTTATATATTATTAATAATGATATGTTAAGTTTGCTAGATATTTCCATTAATAATTTGTAAGGGACTTACTCTTTCTCAACAACAATGTCTGCAAAAATCTCCGAAGGATTCAACATCTGTAGAAAAAGTAGGCTTAAAAAGTTGATATTTAATATTTTACATTTTCATCTTTAAAATGGTGATTTTTTTTTTCAATTTTTAATTTTACCTGTAAATATGGTTGAGGGACAGGTGGCTCCCAAATAGCAAAACCTCCACTTATAGGACTTTGTAAGTAAAGAAGGACATTAACAGCCTCATATAATCTTTCATTATCAGCCTTTTCTCCTGAAATTTCCTCTGGCATTTGGGATAGTAATAAAAGACACTACAAAAAAATATTTAATTTTATAATTTTTAATAAGCATAATTATTTCCAAAATATGTAAAAGAAAAAGAATATGACCTTAAGTGCTTCAGCTGTGCAATCTGAGACAACCCAACCTTGATCTTGGTCAGAGAAAGTCCATGCTCCTTTAGTAAACTGTCGACACATTTTACTAAAATCTCCAGATGGGTTTTGTTTAATTTGGGATTCTTTTATATAAAAATGGGCTTTTTTAATGGAATCTCCATATTCTTCAACCATATCACTAGCGATTATTGCTTGAGTTGCAAGTGTACAATCCCATACTTGGCTCCCGAAACTTTGCATCTTCATTCCATCTTCTGCTAGCCATAAGTAATCCGGAACCCTAGCAAGATGATGCTTGAATTCATCCCCGTTTGGATTCTCTGCCCACCAACACATCATTTGCAGGCTCTACATCCCAAAAATAATAATAATAAAAATAAATTAAAGGATTACCACTAGGACCCGTTTGTTACACATGACAGAACAGGGTGTACTGCGTTTGACATTTGGTATGCATCAGACAGAGACAGAGACTGATGTCAATGAGACAAAAATTGCAATTTTTTGTCCCCACTCAAAAAGGTAGAAGAAGGTGACAGAAGGAATCACTCTCGATCCATCGACTGTGAAAAAGACGTAAATGTCCTTATCATCCTCATCATCTGAAATATCCCTACAAAGCTTGTCCAGTTCGATCCGATCTTGCCTTTTCCCGTGTAACAAATGTAGCCTAAGGCTACATTTGTTACATGAGAGAGGAATGGACTGGACAAGCTTTGTAGGACTATTTTGGATGATGAGGACGGCAAGGGAATTTACATCTTTTTCACAGATGAGTGATAGAGAGCGATTCCCTCTCTCACATTGTTCTACCTTTTCGGGAGGGACAAAAAATTACAAATTTTGTCCCATTGACATCAATCTCAGTTTCAGTTCAATGCATGACAAACTCACTACAACCTTTTTAGTTAGGTTCATGCGTTAAGCTTGATTACCTTTTCAACACATCCGATGGTGATATATCTGCTCTCTTCGGCACTATATCGCATTAGTTCAACTGCTCTTTTGAGACCTTTTTCTCTTAATTTCTTAAAAGGCCAATACTTAAGAAGTGGCTCGCTGAAGTGGTTAAGACTATCCCATAACAAGTCTTGAACTGTTGAATGAGGGTAGTAGAGATCTTCCTGCATCCAATTGAAATCACACAAATTTTTTCAAGATCTCACACAACTACTATTATTACCCTTTATATGTATAATGTATGTTGATAAAATAAATGATTATAAGAACCTTGCAACAGTTGTGGCGCTGTTTATTCCAGTTTATGTTATCATATGGGATCGGATGAATTTCTTGTCGAAGTTGCAAAACAAGATCAGTGATTGGACCATGGAATTTTCTCCCATACAAGTATGACATGGGCATATAAGTTGTCCGACAATAACACCACATTTTTGCTACATCACAAGTAACAAAAATAGTCAATGAACTAAATTTTTATTTTTCCTTATGTTTCCTAACATATTTTGTTCAAATTTTCATTTGCAAAATACGAAAATAACCCATGAAATTAAGATTAAAATAAATAAATTGTACAGTTGTACAAAGTTTGGTATCTTTTATACTCTTCAAACACAAGTTTTGGGTGTTTGTTATATATATATATATATATATATATATATATATATATATATATATATATATATATATATATATATATATATATATATATATATATATATTATATATATATATAAAGGACATGGATATACCTGGATGATATGGTAAAGTTTCTGGGAAAAGCCAAAATTCTGGCGGAAGTGGATTGCACCCATCCCATTCATACACCCCAAGCACCTGCTTATAAAGGTACAAAAATTAGTTGCTAAACACACGTGATACATGTCACATCATACTTGATACATGTCGTATCATATTGTGTCAGGCATATAGTGCGTGGTATGTGTATATATATATATATATATATATATATATATATATATATATATATATATATATATAGTATCAGTCACATTGACATTTAGAAATTGTTTTGATATATGTATGAGTCACATGCATGTTTAAAATTAGGATGGAAGTTTGTGGAAAAGTTTACCGATAGATAAGTTTTTCCCCAAGAGGGAATCGACATTGCACCCCCATGTTCGAGTATCCACTCTCTTGCTCGGCTCACTGCACCATTCCCATCATTAGGTCCTTCTCCGAGTAACCGTAAGGCTACATAGCTTAAAGCAGATCCAATCATGGTGCTGTGGCCCTCTATATAAAATCCCCACCCTCCATCTTCATTCTAACAAAATCATTATTGAAGTTTTACTTGGGGGCATATGCAAGGAATAACAACCCCCTTTCATTTATTTGTTATTATAACATCCTACTTCATTTTTTTTATTATGATATTGAATTTTGAATTTTTGATAATCTATCCAATAATAGCAATATGATTCCAAACAAAGCTATTTATCAGTGATATAAATGGGTAGATTTTTTATGCGTAAATTGCACAAAAATCACTAAGTTTCACAAAAAAAAACAAAAAAAAAAAAAGATTTTGACATTGCCTTATTTTTTGTTTCAATTTAGTCACTAAATTTTATAATTTTTACAATGTTGACAACTTATACGGTTAACCCAATCAATCACTCGCTGATGTGATATTGACATGACATGATGATGTGTTGCTGACGTAATTTTTTTTTGAAACTGCAAACTATCATACTCCTAATCTAATCCTAAACACCACCTAAATCTACCAGTGAGACTTGAACCTATTACCTCTCATTTGAGAGAGTTACATGATGACATGGAATTGAATCTTATCCTAAGAAAAATGGAAAAAGTAAAAAAAATCAACTGTCAACCAAGTAACCGGTTAGGTTTTTTATACTCTAAATAATAATAACTTTTTTGATCGTTTTTTTATACCCTAAAAAATAATAACTTTTCTAATCGTTGGCATCTTAATTATGTCGTAACGGTATAATCCACGTTCACCAAGCAGTTCCTAACATTCTTTTCAAATCGTTCTCTTCCCCTAGAAAAGTATGCACACATTACTAGATCAAGAGTAAAGTGTGTGTTGCTAAAGTTATTATCTTTTGTGGGCTGTTGAATGACCTCCACGATAACGATTTTTCCGATTTCCTTAGGCATTGTTTTTCGAAAATTCATGAGTATTTTATTGTAATTATCACCGCTCCAATTGTGGATGGATCTTACACAATTGGAGGGATGATGATTGCATTAAAAATACTTAGGAATTCTCAAAAAGCGATATATAAGGAAACATGAAAGTCGTTATTGTAGGGGTCATTCGAAAGCCCACAAAAGATATTACTTTCAACAACACACCTTAATCTTGCTCTAACAATATTCGCATACTTTTATAGTGGAAGAGAGCGATCTAAAAAAAAGAATAGAAGGAACTGCTTATTAAATGTGGCTTTTACTATTACAACATAATTAAGATGCCAAAGATCAAAAAGCTACTTTTATTTGGGGTATAAAAAACCTAACTGGTTACTTGGTTGAAGACTGATTTTTCGTTTTTGTTATGATAAGACCAAATTACATAAAATTTACTACATTTTAGATAACTATCACAAAAATCACTATATATATATATATATATATTATATATATATATATATATATATATATATATATATTCCAATTTTGATACTTAGTGCCACATCATCAAATTTACCACGTCAACGAGTAAATACTGGTTAACCTGTTAAGTGGTCAATATTGCAAAATTTTACAAACTTAGTGACTAAATTGAAAAAAAAATAATACAATGTAAAAATTTAGTTTTTGAAATGTTGATAAGAAATTCTTTTGAAAGAATAACACTATAATTGGCTAGAGTTTTTTCTAAGTATTATAGTCAATACACTATTGTAAGAAAGAAATGAAGTAGGATGTTAAAGTAGATAGATAAATGAAAATACATTGTTGTTGCTATTATTATTATTATTATTATTACTTATTTATTTATTTATTGCATTTAGCCCTTCGATTTGACAATTTCTATTTTTTGCCCTCTTATATAAGAAGAGGAAACAATTCTTACTTGGTGGTTGTAGATATAACGTATCATTTCTGCCTTGTGTTCTGTGGTTAAATGTGTATCTATGGCTCCACTGATGTACATAGCAATGAGCTGCACATTGAATATATATATTTTTTTACAAGGTGTGAATCAACAAAATTAACCCCATATCTTTACTCATTTGTAGGTATATTATGGGTATCTTCGTATTTGTTGTTTCTTTTTTGATTTATGAACTTAACATCGACAAATCTTGATCACATAAAAAACAATTTAACAAAGAAAACATGCGAAACAGTGAAACAAGGCTTTCCCCATTAAATTCTAGCTTTTTGTTGCGCATTTGACGCTTTATTTTTTCCTTATATTTTTTTGGTGTATTGTTATTTTCTCAAATATTTTTAAACATCATTTTTACAATATCAACTTACGAGTGGAGGAGTGAAAAACATAGGGCCCGCATTTTCTGCAGGCCAATGACCATCTTTTGCTTGAATTGCACGGTTTAATCGAAGCGCATTTTTAACTGCGATCGTCACTGCATCATAATTCACTTTCTCATTCTCTTCCAATCTTGTTGGCGGTATGCTCCACAAATCGATTCCACTTTCTTTGATCAACTGCATTACACTAACACTTATTATATAACTTTTATCTATCAACTAAAATGCAATACAAA